CCTCAAAATCACCCACTAGTTTTGGTGCCTAAGGGAGGACTAGTACCTAGGTCTCTCGGCTGTTTATCCAGCACTTTAATTACTAGATCATACTCTCTCTCTCTCCTCCCTCTCCCTCATCCCCCCTCTCTCTAGATATTTAAATGTTTCTACCCTACAAAGGTAATCGTCAATGGAGAGGCAATCAGTATTACTAATAAACATGAAACTGTAACTCGGCAAAACCTCGTAATTATCATAGCAATTACCTATATAGATATGTATTTCTAAACCAGAAAACATTATAATCAATACAACCTGGGTGTTTGGATACATCCCTGAGCTCTTTTCCTCCCCACACACTGAAAAGAACTAACATGTTTGATTTGCGACCTAACCTATATATCTTCAGACTTGAAAAATTGTTGTCAGCACTCCCAAGTAAACTAGCACAGCTGAAATTGTTTAACCAAATATATTCTATAAATATATTGCCATGGTTCAGACAATGGCTTAGGGAATCTGAGACAAGATAATTCATTTTTCTATCACTTCATCAAATTTGTGCAATTGTTGATGTGGGTTGTCTATCTGTCTGCCTGCCTGTCTCTCTCTCTCTCCCTCCCTGTCCCTCTCTTTCTCTGAGCATTTGTGTGTGCTTTTGAATCAGTATTAACTCCTGGCAACCACCTGAGATAGTCCTGCAGTGTTATTGCCAAGATTTCTGAAGTCCATTTACCATTGCCTGGTTCCTAGGATTAAGAGGGAGTGATTGGTTCAAGGTCAACCATCTAAGGTGGAAATCTTATAACTCACACTCTCCCCATTTCTAGACTGGTGCCTTAACTACTGTAGTACAGCAAACTGGCTGTCAATCCTTTCTTTTTAGCCTGAAGCATTAAACAAGCAAGAGAGCAAATATTGCTTATTTTAAGAAAATAATGTGGGTAAAAACTTACATCCTGGAGATGTTAGGTAGTCTGGAGAACGCTTCACTAGGAATTCTTTTCAGATATGTATCCATAAACCTCCTGTAGGAACAAAGCTTAAAAAATTAATATATTTTCAAGATGATTATGCTGTTCAAATTCTTTACAGTAATGGTTTATAAATCAGAATGGAAATAATAGCAGTGGAAAACATGGATTACATGACAGATGGACAGTTCATTAAGTTTGCTTCCTAACAAGTTTGAATTATTTTCATCAAATTTTATTTGTGCTATGAATACTCAAGTAGAAATTGACTTTTCCTGGAGGGTCATAAAATGAGTGATAATACAAGCATAGCAACATTAACATTTTGCTATTGTTAGTCTGTCAGTGAAATGCTCAGTCACTGACTTTGAAGAAAGAGGAGATACTGATAAATTTCTACCTAGACGTCAGGTTGACATAATTGAACAAAAAATAGAATTTTGAAAGAAAGTTCATAAAGAATAATACAAATTTTGTATTGTACATTTTTAAGGTTAGAGCATGAAAAAGCATTCCTTTTTTTCAACATTATAGTACCTTTAAAAATGATTTTGCAGCATCTGAATATCAAAACAGGCAGAATTTTATGCCAACTGTAAAACTTTAAAAAATTTCATTGATGAAACTTGTATACAAATTCCTATATCTAATTAATATTTATAGGGATTATTGCATATTATTTAATGGATTGTTTCAATATTTTATGTTATTTTATTTTAAAAATAAACTATCATAAGCACTGATTGCACTGAACAAGGGATTTTTCAAATGTGTTGTTTTCTGAAAACTTGATGATGATAGACTCCTTGAAACAGAGCATAGTTATAAGTTGAGAATGACTAAGTCATGCAGGAATCTTGAAAAAACATGTTTTAACTTTTAATAACTGTAATGCCTAGTGCACAATCTTTCTGACACACTGCATGAGCTCAGGAGTGTTTTGCTGCTGGTTTTCATTTGAACTCAATGTATGATGCATCTCATTACAGTATCCAACAATAGTCAGCTAGCATTGATGGATTCCAATTGCCCTGATATATTTTTCAAATGTGGAAATGTCCTTTTACCACATTTGTCAATGACTGCACCTAAATTTTGGGAAAAGAAATCCGTTTGGATGCAGAAAATGAATCTTCAATGATACATTGCACTTCATGGTCTGGTGCTATAGGAAATTTGTCAATCAGTTGAGTGTGGTTTTACTGCTCTGTATTTTGCCAAGAAAATTCTCAACAACATCCTTTGGTATTTTTCAGGTGATTTTCTCTGGTCCCACTAACAGTTCTTCAACTGTTTGTCACTGATGATGTATCTGATCTGTGGACCATCAAAAATACCTTCTTTACTCTTGGCATCAGTTATTTTTGGAAACATCTGTCTCAAATAACGAAAACCTTCACCTTCCTTGTTTATTGCTTTCCAAAAAAATTTCATCAGTCCGAGTTTTATGTAAAGTAGATGCAAAAATATATTTCTTGGTCCTCAAGTGATTCAATATGCCCTGAGTGTATGATTGGGCTATATAAAGCATACATATAAGAAGCACTTGCAAAAACAGAAAATTATCCTGATTAGCAGGAAAAAAAAAAAACTTTATAAGATACACCCAAAGTGTTCAGGAGCAATTTTTTGTTGTCTAGTGTTATGCATTACAGTATAAACTTCCAGCAAGGGTGACTTTTGGTGGTATACTATTTGTTGCAATCCTTCCTCAAATTTTCCTTTATATGAGGATTAATGCAAAAATTCTTAAATTTAAATATTTTCCCAACAGTAGTTTATTAAACCAAAATGTACTATAGTCATCCTACTGCCATTTTCTCTTTGTTTTGTAAGGTAATGATTGTAAAAACGAAACAAGATCTGTACTACAGCTGTTGTTGTAATCCTATTTGAAGCTCATCCCAACTCCTAGAAATCATAGAGTACGCCTATACAGGATAGGGCTGAATTATTGACATGAGTATTGTCGGTAATGATTTAAAGAAGTTTATCAGAGTATATCTTTGCACATTAGTGTATATTACACTAACACATATCCTGTAGAAATCATTCTTTTGAGTACTTAAATTAACATAATCAAATCAATACCATCTATATGTCAAAAAGGGAGACAGCCTGGATAAGTCTCTGCAATTTTCTTTCTTTTCAAGGTTTTTCAAAAGTGGACTTTCATTGCAAGAAAGTTAGTGACCCAAGTTCACCCAGAGGACTTTGTCTCTGTGGTGAGACCAAAACTCACCATCTGCCTAACANATCTATCTATCTATCTATCTATCTAAACTCTCTCTCTCTCTCTGTGTGTGTGTGTGTGTGTGTGTGTTTATGTTCCAGCATAACTCTGGAAAGCCTCAAGCTATTTCAACCAAACTTGGTACACAGATTACTTACTCTCTGGAAACAAATACTACGGGGCTAAGACACCCCTAACAACCCTTGGGTGTATTTTGTTAAGATACAGCCTGTTGTGCCTTAAAATGTACTGCTGTATAATGGCTTCTACTGTACAGGACAGTGGAGTTGCCATGGTAATGGCTTCAACAGTACTCCATATGGGGGTTCTCTCTGGTAATGGGGAAAATCCAACATTAGAAATTATGTTTGATCCAGACATTTTCAACAAGGCTTTGATTATTTTTGAGGACATATGTATGACTTCTGGGGTCACAGGGAAAACATTTGTAACTAATTTAATTGTCCCCAAAACCAGGGCTTTCCTGTCTACACAGGATTAGAATAAATAAATACCCAGGCAATGCCAGGTTAACGCCGGCTAGTCAAAACTCTTGGGTTCTATCTTACCATTTTACAATAGATAATGCAAAACAAAACAAACAAAAAAACCCAGTTCTATAGCAGAATAACATACAGTATAAGGGAGTCATTACATAATCCCTGGAATGCATTTGAAGGCAATGAATTCAGATATGGATTATCAGCAATTTCACTGTGAAAAAAAGACAAAAAAGGTTTAGCATTGTAATAAAATTGTAAAAATGTATTAGTATAACTCATGCGTATGTGTGCATTTATTTTATTTTATTATAGTTCTACCATTTGCCATTATATAATCACTTTTGTTGTTGTCTTTGGGATTCAGAAGTGTTTCTTTGGATGAACAAAATCTTTTCAATACTTTATGTTTCCATAGACAAGATTAAAATAGGCAAAAGGGCTTTGTTTTCAATCACAGTGTCGCATTTCATAGTGTATAATTTGACCTCCTTCTTTGGAGGATTCCCAGAGCATAAAAGTTACAGCTGTATTGTTAATTTATGAGAGATTTTAATAGATTTAGGCATTACATCTGTTTCTGATACTTCATTATTAAAATATAAATTGTTCTATCTTGAGAACTTGAAATAAAATATTTTTTATAACTGTTTGTTTTTATTAATTAATAGAATTACTATTTCAGGAAACCAATATCTATTCCCCCATGTCACACTCAGTCTCTACCTCTAACTGGACTAGTACTGTTGACTTCTCCTCGGTCCTGTTACATACATTTGGGTGATACATACTTACAGCAAAAAGTTCATATTTACTGAATTAATTTTGGTGAGATCAGGAAAAATGCCAAGTCCAGTATTCAAGATCACACTAAAATAAATAAATAAATAAATAAATAAATAAATAAATAAATAAATAAATAAATAAATAAATAAATAAATAAAAACAGGTAGCAAAGTGACTCAGTAATGTGCTTAATACAGAAAACAATTCATTTATTGCACTATAGCAGGGGTCCCCAAACTTGCAACTTTAAAACTTGTGAACTTCAACTTTAAGACTTGTGATTTGAAGTCACAAGTCTTAAAGTTGCTGAGTTTGAAGATCTCTGCACTATAGCCTCAGTATTTTTTGTATTAATAGCAACCAGAAAAACTCTGGGGATTTATACATGTACATTTTTGTAGATCATCTGTTAGCTTGATAATTAGACAGACAAGCAGAATGTAGAATATTTCAGAATTAATAATTAAATTTAGTATAATAAATCTGCTTAATTTCCATTCTCAGCAAGGTCAGGCAGATGCTTGCAGACCTATATATATTTGCAGGTTGATATATTCTAATTTTCTTTTGCACTGATGATTGTAAAACTGGAGTTTCATTGTTTCAATCATAATTTGTTCTGATTAGGCTTACAAGCAGATGATACAGATAGTAAAGCTAAAGATGTATTAATTCTTCTGAAAATTTTAGAAGTACCTAAATGTGGTTCTTCATAAAATAGGAAAGTGATCTTGGATCCAAATGAATTTTAACTCAATCCCACTGTGGTAAATGTATTATACTCTTAA